TTACTTTGAACAAGACATATCAATTTTAATTTGTGTATCAGGAAACTGAGGTGTATCGTCACTTTCGATATTAACATCTTGAGTAACATTACTTTCTTCCATAATTAAATCTTCTTTAGATTCTTCCTGAATGGGATTTAGATTATCTGTTTTCTTTGGCTGTTCATCTATTTAATTTATAGTCACAACATCTAAATTAGTATAGATGAAATCAATTTATGATTTATTTTACATACTTTTATAATTGATATTTCACCTTCTTCAGAATCTTCTATTAATTCAATTTCTCTATCTTCTTCGACTATACGTTCTGCAAGCTCACTTTCATCATCCACAACTCTAACTCTCCTTTCATCTATATGTCTTTCAACTGAACTTTCTTCTAAACGAAATAGAAATCCTAATCCCATAATTAACTGACATGGTGGAAGATAATTTTTTTTCCCACGAATCATGAATGACCCAGTAGTAAGGTATTCACCAGTTGGAGCAGTTTTTGATACTTGGTCATTCTTTACCCACCATGCTCCTGCTACTACCTTAGCTTCCCACGCAATACTAATAAAGCCATCGTCGATTACAGTATTTATGTAATAAAAAATACATGTGAATAAGCTTTAACTATTAGCATACCTATAAGCAACAGCCATTGTCCCAGCATCAGCTAAAGTTTTTGGAGGGATTGGATTGCCACTGGGATTTTTAATAACTACCGAACTGGCACCAGTTAAATCTGCATGAACATATATATCTCCAGACTTCAGATACCTTTTTACAATCAGTTCATTCTGCTGTTGATCTCTTCCTCCGATTACTATAAAATCATAGTCATTAATATACTGGTAAAAAAATGACTATAATATATTCTTATTAACTGACCCAGATAATTTTCGGAGCTGATAAACCAATAAAATTTTTCAAACCAATATATCTTTCTTAATTTGTTGATACTGTGAATAGCTTTCACTTCTTTTAACGTTTGCTTCGTTTTCTTTTCCGCAGATTTTAAGGCTTTATCTTGAGACTCTATTGTTTTTTGCTGTTTTTTAGCTGCTGACCTCATCTGATCGTAATACTTCCTAACGTTTCCAAAAGATGTATGGTCTAAATCGATATGGACCAGCATAGGTTTCAATTCCGACTCCTCGCCGCTATCAACGTACGGATCGTGCAACATTAACGAAACATGGTTCGTCTCTAAATTTAACTCTTTAATCGTAGATGCAGCAGGATCTACTTTACCTACTTCTTTTAACAGAGCTTTTATATCTCGCCAACCCATTTGACTTCCAAGAGCACTTTGTATAAGTAGTATAGCATTGTCTACTAAAACATGATTTCTGGTAATTAATTCTGCTTTGTGTTTATCTAACTCTTGAGTTTTCTCTAAGGTCATTAGCCTCTGATCGTGATCTTTTTTTACGTTCTCCAATTTCTTCACAGCTTCACGTTCTTGTTGCAAAACTTTTAAATCTAGCTTCTGACCTTCCATTTCAGAAAAATATTCATCAATCGCAGCATCGAACGAGGAAAAGCTTTTATAAGGATAGAATTTATGTTGTTCAAATAAAAAAGGATGAAATTCGATATTAGTGAATATAAATTCATCTTCACCATATGGTTTTACTTCTTGCCTCTGTATAATGTACCCCTGAGGTAAATTTTGTTTTGCATTGTCCATCATTTCTTTTGCACATTCTAACGCGGTAATCAATTTTGGCATGTCTTTTGTAATATCAAAATCTTTGCCAATCTCGCAACCAGGCATAAAACCATGGCTTAATAAAACATGATAAATTAAAGCAGAGCCAAATTGTAGGAGTGGGTTCAAAATTTTTTTAAGGGGCTCTCCAACTTTAGCATTCCGAAGATGTTGCTGAATTTCCTCTAGAGGTGGCATTATATTTTTGTGAGCACGATCCATTGGATATTTTTCTTTAACAGCAAACCTAATTATTACATATGTCTTTTTAATATTTTATATTACAAGATTAAATTATTCCTTACCTAATTTTGTCTCCCTCTATATGAGGTCTCAAAATATTTAAAATAGTCATTTCATAGTCTGTGAGAACTATATTTCCACGATCATACAACTCTAAGATTATATGATAAGCTGCCTCTCCGCTTCCAAATTGTAGATCTATTATTCGATCTACACCTACTTGAGTAAGGCTTTCAAGTCGTTTATTCTTAAGATGTTTACGCATCTGTGAAAATTACATTGTATAATAAATAAATAAACAAAAACACTAGGAACAATTATTCCTAAATTGTAATTTTCCAAAGTGTAAAATAATGAGAACACTGGATACCTTCATCGAAAATCCTGAAGGTGCTACATTTTTTGGCCATTCAAACTCCGTTGTATGAATTCTATTACCGGATTCTAATAAAAGAACACATTTTTTCTCGCTTTGCTGAAGACGTATAAGATACGTTCGATGATCGATGTCATATATTTGATTTACTCGCATACCAATGAGCCTAAACAAACGAAATTAGTTGTAAAGTGTAAACTACACTGTAAATGTATTAATCACTGTAAAAATAATTTAAACGAAATACATGTACTTATTTACATTCATGTCTCATAACCTCTGCAATCAAAATATTCTATTACGTGTTTTCGTTATTTACTTACTTCTGTAGCTCATTGGTAATGCAAACAATATCATATGAATTAAATCGGTTCTTCATTTTTACGTATACGTGATAATATATTTTTTATAATTGAAAAGTATATATTCGAAACGATGCATGAGGATACAGAGCAGCTGCCAGAACTACGAAACGGAGCGTAATCGTCAATCATATGACATGACATGACACACAAATGCGAAATATCATATATTATACATAGCAATAATATGTGCACTTAATTATTTCAGGTATAAAAAGTAAATTAGCACAAACATTCAAAAATCATTTTTAGTATGATTTTGATTGGTATTAGGTAATTATCAAGGATTTTCAATGACGACTACGCGACACGTCCAGTTAGTGTTACCGGCATTCGCATTATTCGATTGTTATTAATTTTCGAGAAATAATGTATGCACTTTTGCAATCGCGGTATATAGTATAAAATCCATAGCAACATTAATGGATCATTTTTGGTACAATTCTGATAGATACAATGAACCATTTCATTATTTCGTACATTTATTGTTTAGTTTCTTGGTCCATGAGCGGCACACTGTTTTGTAATCAAAAGAAATGATTTCGTTTTAAAATTTTTTATTCAGTATTATGAATATACAATAATATGAAATTCGTAGATATTAACGGTAGGATTTCTGGTAACGGGCCCTGGCACCTGGACCACCAAATTTCTTTGGCTCGCACCTCCTCGGATCGGCGACCAGAAGAGTACGATCATATTGAATAAGGATGTCTTTTACTTCCTTTTTACTTGCTTCGTCAACATCTGAAAAATGATTTCCTGATGTCAAATGTGTCTTGCTTATTAAATGTTAATATTCATTTGGACTTACATTTTTGATAATATGCAACAAGAGCTTTAGAAATAGCTTGACGAATTGCATAAATTTGTGCTACGTGACCACCGCCATTCACTCTCACCCTAATGTCAACTCCAGAGAACTTTTCCTATATAAAAAAGACAATTAGTAATTTCAATATAAATGTTTCATGGACAGATTCTTCGTGTATCCGTATAATTCATCTTCTCAGTATCCTCGAGTTTAATCACAAATAATCATGTTCGGAATAAGGGAACATCATAGATTCATATTAACAATGTACAACGTTTGATTGTTATTTCAACTACAGTAGATAAAACTGATAGAATTCATTCGTGTTTATGAAATCTATCACATTAACGAATACTCACTTTACCGAGTAACAGAATGGGCTCCTGTAATTTGTATTGCAATACACGAGGTTCCACCAATTCCAGTGGGCGTCCATTAACACGGAGGTTTCCACGGCCTCGTTTGCAATAAGCAACGGCAGTTGCGCTTTTCTGTAAATATAAACGTGCACAATTATGGGAACACACGCGCAAACATAACCTCACTCATGATTTGGCAGTTACACTCACTTTACGTCCGAAGACTTGCACGGACTGGATAGGTTCTTTCTGTTTCTGTAAGAGAAATCACGTATTAGCCTTGAAACGTATATCTATTGTTGTTAAGGTAAGATAAATTCAAGCAATCGGAAACATGAAAAATTCACCTTCTGCATTTTGGAAAGCACGTCGTGAAAAGGAAGTAGACGAAAGGCGCCACGACGTTTTCATTAGTAGTACTACGGCAATCATGTATGGAACGATTTCCGCTCGTTACCGCGAGATATAAATTTCAACAACTGCCGTCGCATTTAGAAACGAAATTTATACTAATAAATTGTATTAATAAATATAATTTTCTGCTCTAGATATGTTATACGTCCAAATTGTAGCGACGAATAAACAATTGCAAGTTGAACGTACATTATAATTATCTACTGCTGCTTTTACCGACGTGCCCCTGTCAGTAGGCAACTCGAAGTACGCGCGCGTCGGAACCTCACTCGCGAAGGTGTGAATTAGGGGTTTGAATGAAAGTTCGTGTAACTTTATGCCCTAATTAGCTGTCGCGACAGGCGACAAGATTCAAGATTCCTTAAAGTCACACGTCATAATATCAATTAAGTCTAAGAACTTGAAGATTGAGCCTCTAGGCTTCATGGTTCGCCTTTAAATGGATCAGCTAATAAAAGAAATGACTATCACAGGGATATATGTAAACATTAAATATTGATTAAGGCAGCGTTATCGCAGGTATTTTAAGCAAACAATGACTGTATCTTTTAATTCTCAGCAAACACTTGTATTCATAAGTGGGTCATGTATCATGTTTACTTTGCGAATATTACGTTTACTTTGATTGTACAAAAATAAATGACACGTGCTGATACTGTCAATTAATATTTTTATTTCTTACAAAACTTGTCTAAGTACGGTAATTGCGAATACATTAATTATAAACAATTCAGCAAGCTTCGACCATATACTTGTAATTGCACATGTTTTTTGATTTGTCAAAAACAAGCTCCTCGGGACAGATGAACGTGAATTGTCGATAAAGTGTGCCGTAAATCTTCTGGCAATAGTAGAACGTTTTACAGTTTTGCGGATTAGCCACGTATCCTTCGCTTTCGCAGATAGATTTCGACGACGAAACTGAGCGTGGCAATTTTCGAGTTAACTTTGTTGGTGCTGGAGAAGCCGATTCAAAGGCTGATGCGCCGCCTCTCAAGACGTTGTTCAAGGCAGTCAAAAGAGGGTATCGCGAACCACAGGTACCACGGAAATCATCGGTATCGATGCTCCACACCATGGCACCGCCAAGCAGCATAGAGTTAATGTAGTTGGCTTTCTCTGCGACAGATCTGAAAATGAACGCGAATACATCGGTTAGATCCAATTAGTAAACCTGAAAGCTTTCCTCTCTTCCAAGTTTCCAACACTCACATAGGATCATCATATCCAACCCATTGGTTGCTTTTGAACGCATATGGCACGCGTTGTTGTGGATCACGGATAACGGTCCAGCCACCTTGGTTTAGATTCTCGCAAATTTCATTGTAACCTAGCAAACCTGCACCTTCCGTGTAAGGTCCAGCAGCTCCGGGGCCAGTGGTCGGGGCCCCTACTCCGTTGTTATTAGGATCTGCCAGAGTGAAGGATCTACCATACGCGGGAATGCCAAGGTTGATTTTATCACCTGGCGCGCCATGCTGCAGCCAATAAAGAACCGCTGCATTCTGAAAATGAAACTTTTCTGGTAGAAAATGATGGAAAATGATGGGTGGCTAGGTTGAACGAATACGTATACTATACGTACTACGTTGTTCAACGGATCTTGGCTTCCAGAGCTGGCGTACATTGGAGCGTTTAGGCCCGCGTAGTTGCTCCAGGATCCATTGAAATCATACGTCATGAGATTGATGAAGTGAACGTATTGCGAGACTTGCCAGACAAGGTAGGATTGGGAAGCGGAATCTTCGCCGGCAGCCACTGCCACGCTGAGGATATAACCGTATTTGTCGAATTCTTCTCTGAGTTCTCTGAGCAAGGCCACATAGTTCTCCTTGTCCGAAGGCTGCCCTCCGCGTTGGTTGGGATATTCCCAGTCGAGATCGAACCCATCGAAGTTGAACCTTTTCAGAAAGTTAACCACGTTTTGGACAAATCGAGCCCGCGTGCTAGGATTACTGACGATCTGTGAATATTTGTAGGATCCCTCGTCCCAACCACCGGAGGAGATCATCGCCTTGGTGCCTGGACTCGACCGACGGAGCTCGGTAAACTTTCCATAGCCGTTCATGCCACCATCGTCTGGTAGATCAGCCCATGGATCGCTTACAAGAACGTCACCGTTGGTATTGGTACCAGTAAAAGAGTAGATCATATGAGTACACAGATGGGGGTTGATGTCAGAAATCTGGAAATTTCCTAGTCCAGGACTGTAGACTGCCCAGCTACCAAAGTAGCAAACGATCCTCTCTGAATAACGAAAAGAAAAAGGAATAATGAAAACGTAGACTTAGCGGTACTATTATTATCGTTAATCCGATCCTTACTGTCAGCCTGGACACCGGTTGCGGCGATCGCCACGATAACAGCCAAAAATGCTGCTTGGAACATCTGAAACGGAGGTTTTGGATGTTTTGCCATTCAAATGATTTTCCATACATGATTTTCATTTCAGCCACTTGATCGAGTTAGTTATTAGACGTTCGATATAAGGAGGTTACAAATTGCTACGATCATGGAATATCGCGATAAATCAGATAAAAGCAGTTTCATCAATAGTAACGCACGGAGATTGCCAGTTGTGTAAACACTTCTATATCTAATAACTCTGTAGCATAGCCATACTTCAGTTCATTAAAAAAAAATTAATTAAATTAATATCTTTGTACAAGAGTATGTACAATATGATAGTTATGTTTCGCCATCGTACAGTCTTAGCGAATTTGTACCGTCGTACCAGAAACTGGTTTTACGATTAAATATGATATTTCAGTTTTATGATCAGTGCTTTACGAAACAATGTTCAACGTTTATTAGGTTTTAGAAAACGTACGGTTATAAATCGTAGAAAGCGTGTCACTTTAATTACTTCTAGATTCCCGTTTTATAACTTTATGATATCAAATAGGAAATTTTGTATCTTCCGGGCTAATACTGTACTCGAGCGCTTGCAATTACTATCTTTTATCTCGACGGTCGACAAAATACACGTACGATTTGTTACCTTAGAGCTCGAGCTTCGATCACCTCGAACTGTTTTTTACAATGTAGTAATTTAATTTGTTCGAACTCATTTATATCCTTCTCGTTGCCATGTGTTCGTATTAAAAATGGATAACAAATTAAGTAACAGGCTTCTACGAGTAAATACGATAACATTACATATGTTTTTACTTATACTTATCGTGAGAATACTTAAAATTCATGGTAATTCAAAGAAATTCTACCAACTCTGTTGCCTCCTAATCTTCAATGAACACTTGTGTTTTGATTTACGTCACAGATTACGCCTATTGTACGAGAAGGTGGCTTCTCGAATCATTTTCGTAAACATGATTGGTTGAAACTTTCCAACGTACAACGTACTCGATGAAAATAAGAAAAAAACTAAAGTACTCTAATCCAAGATATGAAAGTACTTCAGACACTTTTATACAGTATACACATATAATCGCACAGACTGATAATTAGAGAAAACATAATGGTCTTTTATTGCAATGTACAATTGGAATAATAATATGTACAGTAATTGTAAATAATTCGGGTTGTGTGCGACAACTCAGCAGTCCGGAACCTCGCTCTTGTAGTTGCAGACTTTCTGCGATTCATCGAAAGCAAGTCCGTCGGGACAGTGGAACGTGAAAACCTTGTATCTATCGTTCACTTTCTGGCATTGATAGAACGTTCCGCAATCTTTCGGATCGCGTACGAATCCTTCGTGTGTGCAGACGGACTCTGATGGTGGAGCTGGCTCCGTGGGACCTGACGTTGGTTTCGAAGGTGATTGCGTAGGCTCTACAGGATTGGGATCAGGAATTGGTACGCCGCTTCTCAAAACCCTATTCAAGGCTGTCAGAAGAGGATACTTTTCGCCACAGGTACCACGGAAATCGTCGGATTCGACGCTCCACACCATAGCACCGCCAAGACCCATAGAGTTAATATACTTGGCCTTCTCTTGGACGGATCTAAGAATGAAAGTGAAAGCGTGAAATATTTTGTCATCGCTATTCGTCTCGAGAGTGACAAAAAGACACTCACGTGGGATCATCGTATCCAACCCATTGGTTGCCTTTGAAAGCATATGGCACAAGTTGTTTTGGTTCGCGGACAACGGTCCAGCCACCCTGGTTCAGATTCTCGCAAATTTCATTGTAACCCAATGTGCCAGGCTCTCCGGTGTAACGTCCAGCAGTCCCAGGACCAATGGCTGAGGCGCCTAATCCATTGTTAGCGGCATTCGCTAATGTGAAAGATCTACCATACGAGGGAATACCGAGATTGAGCTTCTCGGCTGGCGCGCCTTGCGATAACCAATAACGAACCGCTGCATTCTGAAATAGAAGAATTTTGTTAATGCTATGTACGCTAAATTTCCAATATCCAAGCCTTATACTGAACTTTAACCGAACGGATAACTCCCTAAAGAAACGCGTATACGTACAACGTTGAGCTCAGCCAGGCTTCCAGATTCTTTGGAGGAGGCGTACAGAGGGGCGTTAATGCCCACGTAGTTGTTCCAGGATCCGTTAAAATCGTACGCCATAAGATTAACGAAATGAACGTATTGCAAAACTTGAGAGATGAGATATGATTTGGAGGCGGAAGCTTTAGCGGCACCCGCGGCTACGCTGAGAATGTAACTGTGTTTGTCGAATTCTTCTCTGAGTTCTTTCAGCAAGGTCACAAAGTTCTCCTTGTCGGAAGGTTGCCCGCCACGTTGATTGGGGTATTCCCAGTCAACGTCGAACCCATCGAAGTTGTACTTTTGCAAGAACTTCACCACGTTCTGGACAAATTGACTGCGTGCACCTGGATCACCGGCCATTCTCGAGTATTTGGAAGATCCCTCGTTCCAACCACCGATAGCGATTAGCGCTTTGGTACCCGGACTCAATTGACGAAGGGCGGTGAACTTTCCGTAACCGTCCTTGCCGCCACCATCTGGCAAGTCAGCCCATGGATCCAATATTCGGACATTGTTGTCACTCGAGAGCCCGGTGAAAGCGTAAATTATATGAGTACATAGACGGGGGTTGATGTCGGAGACCTGAATGTTGCCCAGGTTCTGTCGATAGACTGCCCAGCTACCGAAGTAACAGACGATCTTCTCTGGATAACGAAACCAAATTATTGCGTGTAATCGATTACGTAAACCTTCGGTGAAGCGCGAATGAAAAAAAGTGATCGAGACTATCTGGCTTTGCCGTTTGAAAAATAGGAAATACTTTAGTTGTACTATTATCAGCGGTAATCTGATACTTACTGTCAGCCTGAACATCGGTAGCGGCAAGTATCATGAAAGTTACCACGATTACTGTCTTGAACATCTGAAAAGTATTATTTCTAAAGCGTATCGGAGATAGTACAATTGTTAATATGTAATTGAACTTAATTGATATTTCTGGTGTAACATCCAAGTCCAAGATGATCAGTGTTGAATAATAAGTTATTTTTTTACCTTCTTTGAGTGTTACCTTAGCCTGTTGATTTACGCGTGATTTTACACTGAACCGATCCGGTACTGTTTATATCGAAATCGAAATTTTGCGTGGCCTTTTATTCAAAATGGAACAGTCTTATCAGTCTTCACAGAATGTGTCACGCAGGACAGACCGAAAGTAGGGGAAACTCTGGAAGTAACCCAGGTATTATGTATCAGAGTATTTATTACAGGTGAGTATCCTTTACAGCAAACATTGCTGCTCAAAAATTTATTTACCCTGTGAGTCAAAAATCAGTCGACTCGCTTAACAAGTAACGCGTTACTTTTGAAATGTTTAGCTCTTCTGGATCGTTAGACGCGCGCACAAGAACAAAGGTGTAGTAAAAGCAAAGCTCGGCTAAATGAAATTTACGATGTCACGATAGAATGACTGATATCGTGAATTGCACAACTTGAGGCCTGCTGTGTAATAGCTGATCAACGAAGGATTTTCTTCATCTCCGGTATTTGCATCTATCGTTTAAAAAATGTATTTTGATTATAAACATTTTCTTTTATTAAATTTATCCGCCTACTACTGTGTCTGTTCTAAACAAAAATACCCCGACTATTCCCTTTTTGGAGAATTTACATTCACTGTGGAAATTTATTAAGTTCAAATAAATGTAGATAAAAATGAAAAGGGGTAGACCTACTTGCTGCAAGGTATAAAATTACGTTTCCACCAGGCTTCCACGAGCTTGTTGCATCACGAGAGTACAGGAGACTCCTTGTCTCCAAACTACACTGATTACCCCGAATTCGTTTATCAATAAATAATGACGCTGAATATTATATACTTCCGCATACTCCTTCGTCATTCCTATGTGTGAAAATCGTATTTTCCGATTGCAAACAGTACCCACTTATCATAATGCTTTCTCCCTTCTTTACACACGTTATCAGACGGCGCTGAATTTTATCGTTGACAGATAAAGCTTGTATTCTTTTCGGATTGATTGATTCCGAGTTTGTCGAACGTGCGATAAAGTTTCAAAAAAACTGAGTTGGTACATTTAACAATAACGTTGACGAGTCATATCCGGGAAATTTTGCAAAGTTTTAATGAATCATTGATGACATATGTGCAAAATAATGTATACGATACTTGTCTTGATAATAATACTTAATATGTTTAATATTATTAGATTAACTGTATTATAACTAGACTATTAGAAATACACAAGAAGAATCTTTTTATCAAGTGTTAGTAATTAAACACAGATTATACTTAGAAACAGTTTTATTTATGCATATTTCACGTAATCCTGTAACAATATATTTAACAAAAATCAGTGTATATCAAATCCATAAATGATATTGAATTCTGATGTTCAGAAAAACTATTCTAGAAAGTATGGTACTTGATCCTGCGATTAGTTCTTATTATTCCTTGTTTTCGTATATACCTCCAATATGCTTTGGTATTTGGATCAAGGTCTGACAATTTTGGCGGTTCCGTTCTAATATTCCATAACCATTCAGGATATTCTGAGTCAGGCTTTAGTTTCACTTCTTCTCCCTCCTTATAATAGTTTAATCCACACACAAAATTCAGTAACTTATTAATATCCTTTTCAACAGATAACTCTACTTTATCTATTTTAAACTGTTGCTTCTTCGTAGCCTTTTTTGAAGGTATCACTGTTAAAACAAACAACATAATTTTAGTCCATAACACTGTTTAGTTGTTATTATTCAATTATTTGTACTCAAAATACTAAGTAAAATTGATTCCAGTGTCAAATTTAACAAAGAATTATCCTGTTAATACTTTAAAAAGAATTTAACCTCTACTTGGATATAAATGTAACTTGCTATTCAAACTGTACGTAATGATTCGGTAAAAAATATATTTACCTGTATAGCCTTTCATTTGTATCACATATTGCGTTGGAATAATTAAATTTTGCTTGAATTGGAGTATCCTTAAACCAGAGAAAAGAGACATGGTATTATTTTACAGTATTTTCTAAACAGAAATTTACAAACTCTAAAATGTTAAAATCCCTATCAGTCCTTATTATAGTGCATAGTAATATGGAATGACGCGGAATTTTCAAACGTTGACAACGGTAACAAGATCAAATGCGCAATGACAAACAATAAGTACTGTTGACTTAATTCAATCACAATTTAATCGAAATCTCAAGGTTTGAAGTGTATCATGAAGTATTCTTTACATGACTATAATTGAATTCATAAATCTGTGACCAAATACATTAATTATACTTTTATGTTTCGGTTATGTAATGCCAATAAGCAGCGATAGAGCGACGCGGGTAGGTTCGACTTCATTATGACATATCATATCAAATCATACGCTGCATTTGATAAAATAAATAAAAGATGCAATGAATAATATATTATGTACTGAATATCATAGATAAAAACAATTGCCTTTGATATAAAAGGCATAAAAGCAAGATCAACGGAAGGTCACAAAAATATTCAGGAGAACAATCATTTCCTGACAATTGCACCGGCTTTACCAATTTTACCCGGAGCACCTGTACCACTAAAACTATCCAAACGTTGTTATAATTCATTTAGGTAATAACAATTAACTTAAAAAACTAGAAGCTGAAAATTATTTCATAACATAAATATTTATTATGTAGCCCAGCAGATTCTTCGTTTAACATAGAACATGCCAAAGTTGAGAATTCCAATACAATTACATTACAATGGACAAGCGAAGGGAAAACTATTGTTGCTACAAGAACAGCTGCAGAGAAAGAAAAAAATCCAGATAGAATATCTCTTGATAGACGGGGCCTTACTACATTTCCAAATATAGTTGAAGAACCACGATTACGTTTATTGTCCCTCCAACATAATCTTCTTACAAACATCGAGAACTGCAACTTGTCCCATTTAACAAAATTAGTATTTCTTGATTTGTATGATAATCAAATTGAAAAAATTTGTAATTTTGATTTGTTAGAAAATCTAAGAGTATTACTGATTGGAAAAAATAGAATAAAAAAGATCGAAGGCCTGAAACAACTTTCCAAATTGGAAGTGTTAGATCTCCATGGAAATCAGATTCTACAAATATCAGATTTACATAATTTGGCATCTTTGAAAGTGCTTAACTTAGCTGGGAATAATATTAAAGTAATAGGCTATCATGACTTCCAAGGTTTAACTTTGCTGAAAGAGTTAAACCTTAGACGTAATAAAGTCAAAAAATTATTAGGTTTCGGCGAAATACCGCAATTACAAAAATTATATTTAAGTAATAATGATATTCAAAAGTAAGTATTCTTAGCATAGGATATCTGTAAAATATTCGTTTTGCTAACTAAGTGTTTGACGATATTGTTTTAGAATCGAAGATATAGGTAGCATTGCAAAAGCGTTACACCTCAGAGAAATAACAATCGATGGAAATCCCATAACGTTGAATGGAGATTATGTTTCCTTCTTTGTGTCATATTTACCAAATTTACAATTTTTATCTACTATGCAAATTACCGAACAAATTCGAAGAACGGCTATGGCCTGGAGAACAACTAAGGAACAAAGTAATTCTACTTTTTTAAACCTTAGTGCGCAAGTTTGTATGAAGGCCCGACGGGAAGAAGTAATATCGAATGCGAAAATAAATTGGGAGCTTCTTAGATGTCATTCTAAATCCTCTCCAGATAACAATGGAAATAATATACGAAGAAGTAATGTTAATCCATTGCAAATTCAAAAATCAAGCAAATTTAACGCATTGAAGCCTAAAAACTTAGAGAAGGTGAAAACAAAAGGTTTTGGAAGTTTGACTTCTATAAATGAAAACATTGAAGCAACAAAAATAAATATAAAAAAAAGAAGTAATTCTAGCGATAATTTATTTCGATTAAAAGATGCAACTAAACCATGTCCATTAGAGTTTAAACTCCCACCTATTTTGGGTTCTATCGTAGATAATTTAATTAATAACAAATTTGCTGAAAAAGTAGGTAAAAATAGTAAAGGCTTGACAACAACAAAACCTAACAGTGATGCTGACAGTGCATCAAGCAGCGATTCAGAAAGTTTAGAAAGCCATGCAAATCTGAAAAGTTGTTTGAAATCTCATATGCTAAACTCGAATAACTATATTTCTCCTCGTAATATTAATAATCTTGTTACTAGTAAAATATTTAGTTGTCTCGACGGTTCTTCGCCCACATCAGAAACTGCCACTAACGAATCGGAAGATAATAAAAGTTTTACAGTTTTTAAATCTTCCGAAGTATTAATAAACGATGATAAATATTTAACAGAAGATTCTCAAAATATAAAGTTGCATGATCAGCAAAGTCTAAGCGATTGCCACTCAAAATCGAGTGTTGGTTCCTCTGGATATTGTTCTTTAAGTTCTAAAACTAACAGCATGGATAGTTGTAAATCAGTGATGAGCGATTTCAGTACATTGTCTGTTACTAAAAATGTATCGTTAAAGTGTAAAAATTCTGAGAAAGATAAGAATAGGGTAAAGAGTGCTCAGGTAAAGAAAATAGTGAGTTATAAAAGTAATAGGGCAGCAACTGCTAGAGCTAAATATAGAGGTTTAACACCACAGAGTCCACCTCCGTTGCAAAATCCACCAAAGGAAAGAGAACAAGGTGTGTGGCAATAATATTTAAAAAAAAAATATTACATAATATAACATGTTTTCTTTAACTTCATAGGAGGAGATTACTTAATAGAAATAGTTGGTCGATGCTTGAACGTTTACGGGCAAGGTGCATTGCGTTTTATTGACAGACCATGGGACTCTTCAAAAGCTGAAGATGTTAATGTAGTTAAATTTAATTATGTACAATTCAACGATGTGGCCAAAGTTTTATGTAAAATAAAAAATAGATTTTCGAACATAGAACATTTTCTGTTTAAAGAAACTAATATCAGTTACCTTGGACAGCTTAATGCTTTAGCTGAAGTACAGGGATTAACAAGTATTCACATAGAAACAGGAAACCCAATTGTATCAAAGGATTGGAAAGTGTATGCTATATTTCGTTTAGCTCATTGGGGATTGAAAATTATTAATGGAAAAGAAGTAAATATTTCTTATTTTGTGTAAAATAGAATAGAAGTTTAAAGATATCATTAGATGAATTTTATTTATTGAAAAATACATTTGATATACAGATTACAAGCGAAGAAATTGACTTCGCGAATAAAGAATATGCTGGTCTCGTCGATATCGTAATGTGCTCACTGCCAGAGTCTTTGTTACAACCTTTATTACAGAGACTTCATTTAGAAAAAGTGCAAAGGCAAAATGGAGAACAGATTACTGCCAAACAGTTCTTACTTAACAGTGATCCAGCCCTCAGAAGTGTTGTTGCCAAAGAGGCATTACAATGGAGAAAAGGAAGTATAACACAGGTGATAAAATAAAAATGCAAGTTTTTATAATTAGTTCTCTCACTGAATTCTGTTTTTAATTACAGGAAGACCTTATTTGGAGGCACAAGGGAAAAGTACATTTGTTAAATCTGATCAATCGTACTGTAGATGCGATACAAAAATTGCAGTTACTTGAAAATAAATGGCCAAATATTTTATGTGAAATAATTCACACCACTTTATCGGATTTTTCCGAGATGGACGAATACATGAAACGTTGCAGTGAAACACTTAAAAGTGATAAATGATAAACAGAATTATCTTTCTATGCATTAATCGTTACCAATAGTTTACAAGAAATGGAATTACTAAATTATTAATCGGTACATTGTTATATAGGATTAGAGGTTAAGATAGTGCAAATTCATATGAATTCAGACGGTATGTTCCTTAGTATGTGTTCATATTTATTTTGTTAAGTTATTACACAAATTATAGAATATAATATAACAATATATTTGTTATCTAAAAATCAATGATACATTTAAAATAACTATCGTTTAATAAGTTTGTCGCGATGTTAATGTAAAATGTATTTTGGTTGTATTTTATAAAAAGATAATTCGACTAGTGCAATTTATATAAATTCTTAAAAAATTAATTCTTGTATATCTTCTATTCAATCTTTTTTTATTCCATAAGTTAATAAGTGTAAACAAACCATAAAGGCGAGTACTATTTACAATGAAATGCAATCTCATGCTAAGTAAAAATCAGTCGTCCGCATCATTTCGTTCCGATGATTGATTCCACGCTGAATGAAATCGTGGACTTTTTCTCCAAGCAAGGTCCATTTTTAGCTGCAGAAATATTATTGAGATCTGTCACAGCGGAAGTGAAATTGTTAAAGTTTTTTTTCATTCTCCGAGGTTCTGTTACATGTTCAAACCACGGAATTGCGGAATACGTAGCCGGGAAAGGTTGTAATTTCTTCGAATCTTCGGATTCTTGGCGATATTCTTGATTATGCGATAAGCCATTCAATAATGGAGCATCTGCGGTAACTGAAATATAAAACGTGCAATGGGAACACTATAGCAAAGAAGATGTAAAGATGATAATTGAGTATCTTTGGTAGCAATAGAATGTTAAATATAATCTTCTCTGCGGTAACAAACCAAAATCTTGTGTATACCAACGACAGCTGAGGCCACGTGGACGTTACTTTTAACGATTTCCGGTAAACCTCTACAAAAGTGTGCTTCATCTACTAGATTCTACATCCTTCACTAATACAGAGAACACACATTTGGTGATTGGTGAAAGAACGTGCTATTGGTTCAAATTGTCATTTTACAAACAAAATTTTCGTTTTGTTTAGCACCGTAAAGAAGGGGTAACACTTTAATGTATTATTAATTACTAACATGGCGTAGGTAAACTATGGATCGTCTTCAACCCATAGAAACCCTGTGTCACGCTGATGCTGGTTTGCGTGAAGTGCAATTGATGACGTTGAAAATTCTTTGTTCTTCGACAGAGAGGACTCTGGTCGGCTTTGAGCAGATACGGGGAACCTGACGTGTCTATCGGGGGATGACAGACTGTCGAGACGTTTTCGGCGAAGTAATTCCCTTGAGCCTGCTGTTGCCTCCTTAGCGCAACTTGCGCTGCCATTACCCGTTGTCTTTCGACCACCAGCAAACAGCAAGGACAACGACAGTCCTTCCACGCGCACGACCTCTTGTGACCCTTCAGACCAGAAATCACACCGTGGTTCCTGCATCTCGCGCACTTTGGACTTCTCAGACGTTGCTCCATGCCGGAGTTAGCTTGATTCGAATTGCCACTTTCAGTCTTCATTTCGAATCCTTACTAATACTACTCTAACAACGTATTTTTTTCAGTATACAAAATATGTATCACGGCATAGCATTTTCTCTTGATGCACGTTTGAATAATCACTTGAAAAACTTTCGGTACTGTTAGAATTGACACAATAAAGTGGTGAATAATATTTGACGAAGAAGAATTATGATTGACAACGCATTCATCGAGTATCTCGCACTCTTCGAACTGCTCGTTGGTCCGCGAGACTCTAGCCAATGTAACGGTCAGTATGCACTGTTGAATGAGTTATATGCTTAGAGTAATCTTTTTCCTTCGACGAAGGAGGTGTCTCTTCATCTCCTCCTACTGATTCAAAATGTATTTTTAGAGAAGGAACACGACGGGATTGGCTCGAAACGCGAAGAAACCCCGCCACCCTCGCAAACGCTAAGCCAATCGAGACCAACTCGTATCTCGATGTTCTTGTTACCATCGTGGTTGTATCACCTCGAGAAAAAAGCAAAGATCTTCTTTGATTACCAGCCACCCCCGTGACGGGATACTATCGATCTTCCGTGAGCAGATCCTCTGACCGGTATATGTACGCACAGAGAATCGCTTTACGCGAAACGGAAAGATTTATCGAGGTCTGATTCGCGTGAGCAACCGAGACATGCTTGTTTATTCCAGTAAAACATCGGTACGAGATGCATTAATTTGTCGTGCAAATTGTATTTACAAGCCTTAGCCCACAAGGAATCCCCCTACAGCTGCTACGCTTTTCCACATTTGGGCCAGTAGCTAGAGCGAGGAATCTTATTAAGTTTGTCGAGTTATATTTAGATTTCGGAATGCTTTGTACATCAAACATTCTGACAGAATGACTTGTAATGTTCCAGCCTGCAGTGGTTTCTTCCTCGATAGCTGAACTACTTTTTTTTAGGAAGTAATGTAAACCGTGCCGCTTCCTCTCCGTTCGAGTATATAGATTTTTATCCAAAACAAGGGTAGAACATAACGTTCGAGGGTACGGCACTTAAAAGTTGGCCACCCAAAAGAACGCTCATACGTTAAGAAAACATACTCGAAACTAATATTAACTGTGCGTTGGCAACATCCGAGAGGATCGTATTAACGAGCTCTTAGAGCAAGATCACAGAAAGAATGCCATGTGGCCGCAGCTGGCGATGTGTACTGTTGTTAGTCCAACGAGATTCTCTCTTTCTCTCTTCTATTTTTGCAGTACACGATAGAACGAAAAGGGGAAAGAGATTGCATCGTCTTCCACTTTCCGATACTTTGACGGCATGTCATATTTTTAGTTGTAACCGAAAACGATCTCAGACTTCTTGGACACTCGATGACGTTATTCGGTTAAACTGTATTGCTCATTCTCTCTCTCTCTCTCTTTCTCTTTCACTCTCTTGAGCTGTAATCGATCAGTTTTTGTTTACTTTTCATGCCGGTCAAATCTACATCTTGCAAAGATTTAAAGTATATTCCTGGCAGTTGAATACGTAGAAGAACTTACTCCCTTAATATAGATAACGGGTCGGAGTATTCTACTTTAGTTAGAAGGTGCCTCTTTGTTTCGTTTTCGTGTTCTCTTAATAGTTCATGAAATTAGAGTTCTTTGTTTGAAGCGCCTCGTTTTTACAAAAAAGAAAAAAACCCAAAGAAAGAGAAAGAGAAAGATGAGCCAATCTTAGCTATGGATATTCTGAGGTGCAACATAGCTCCGGTCACGCATCTTCAGCGGAACCGCCGCTGCCAACAGCGGAAAGATGTTGAATGACCTGTCAACATATTTGCCGCACTGACAACACCCCTCGAGCAAAGCTGTCCGTGTCGATGGGAAACGGGGATAGAACGTCTGAAATGACACCCCTTCGTTCCACGCTCATTAGGGCGAATTCTTCGGTGCGTTTCACGCGTGCTTACCGGCGGCGCAGCGGATGTAAATTTAAACTTCTCCGATCGATTCTTCTTTCGTCATCTACGTAACGAAAAATGTCTAAAAGATGCTGCCGTCTCTTTCAACGATGCTACACTTTCACTTTTGAACGTACTTAAAAATAAATAATTTCTGTTTATACATTTTTAACTGCATTCACATTATTTAATTCCAAAAGAAAATTTTCTCGACGCGTTTATTAGTCAAAGACATCTGCAAATCATGCAAATTGCATTTGTTCCGCGATCGAGAAGAAAGCCTGTTCGCTTCACGCTATGATCGTGGCATACTTAAAAATTGATAAATCTATTTTGACAGTTGAGAAAAGTCTCTCGTTGAAATTCATCGCGACCTTGCGCGGCTCTCGTATGCGAACCGGCCGCGGCGCGGGCGAAGAGAAACGGGAGCGTAGTATTCGAAGTTACAAACATGTTATGTAATACAAAATTCAAACGATAAATCAAACAGACGAAATATTGTATCATACAACGCTTCAACATACGTCGAAACTAACCTCGAGAAATTTAAGACAATATCTTCGCGAAGTAACACGAAATGTAATGCGGCCGTTTATTAATAAACGGTGTAGCGGATATTCTTGGATTATAAATCTTTCACTCGTCCGAAGTAAGGACATTTTGTTCTTGATATTCGATAGAATATCGTGTTCCTTACTAAAATCATTATAAAAGAAGAAATTATATTAATGGTTGTGTGTTTTAATGTTGATGCTAGGCTGGTGAAGAACCAGGGATTGAATGCATTGCAATGCCCCACTGTACAAGCAACTTTGCTTGGTACTTAGGAAAATTCATCGCAGGCTTCACGGGTATGCTTTTCTTCTATGTTTTTTTAAAGGAGAAGTGAGTATCGTTCAACTTCGGGCAACGCAAATCAAACGGACCGATGATAAAACTATTTGTACTTACACATTACAGGGAATACAGCTGTCTTTGCCATGCAAGAATGAGACAGGCCATACGTCGCAAAGGAGAAAAGTGGGTCACGTTGGTCATACGTGCGAGATGTCTCTGAGACAGCGTTTCCTAAATTGTACTGCGAATTGTAAAAAATCATAATATAGCAAATCTTAACATTTTAAAATAGCGAAAAAATAGATTTAGAAAATGCTGTTCCAAGGATCCGTTTCTTCGTATTGTCCACGCTTTGATAAATTGTCGCGACGGAGTCCTAAAGAATATCACGCATCGTATGGCCAGCAATATCATGCGCATGGCATAATCAAAAGTTTTAATACTTAGTATCAATTCCTGCTCCACAGACAACCAGGCAGATGTGAATGCGAACACGGGTAAGCATTGACAACGATATTCTCCGTGTTAAACGTTTCCGTCTGATCTCTTGATTGATTGTTTTCCATAGAATGCGGACCAAAGTTTATGCTTGCGGCTGCAGAAAACGTATGGACATGTAAGTATTATACAGAGGCTACGAATAAATAATTTACAACATAAAGCGATAATTGATGTTGATTTTCAGGGTACACGAGGATAACAAAATGGTTTCAAGAGAACGATCTGGCGAACATCTCGGAGACTGCACTTGTGCTAGGAAAAGGTCTTCCTAAAAATGACAATGGTAATTTCGACTTCTCCAGCGAATCGCTGTAAGTCTTACCATCGTGGACAACTCTAATTGCACGACGTATCGGTGATTCTGTCATTGTTTTGATTGCAGATATATCATCTACAAATTGTGTGTGCTGTGTAACATTACTTAATCAGAAAAGGAAGGTAAATAACCACACTTGTACTAAACATAAGTAAAATTGTAACGATGACGGAATCAGGTTACAGCATCAACGACAAACGTAAGAAGAAAACGACCAGGCAGACATTGCCTCTATCGCCATTGTAGTGGAATCGTGTGCGCTGAAAAAATGATGAAAAAAAGAAAATACAAACAACCTTGTGCACACCTACGCGTTACTCAAGACATCCTTCCCGATTACTGGAAAATATGCAGCAAAACTGACGATAACGAAACAGAGAACCATGCGGAAAATGTTAATATCATCGACGTTATTAACAGTGATACGAAAAATTGCGAAGGAATTATGATTAAGTCGAAAGAAAAAGAAACATCTACAAAACTATACCTTAACAAAATAGACTCCAAACAGAAAACATCAATTGATTGTCCATGCGTTTCTGTCGACTATAACGCGTCCCAGGCATCTCGATACTCTGAAACCAAGTGTAAAGAAACTCAATGTTTCGATAACAAATCAGATAAAGCGCCTCAACGTATTTCAGAACTAGAAATTGTCACAGACATCTGTGCCGATAATGACAAATATTCTTTACAGCGCATTAGTGGCAACACATCTGAAACCCAGAGAAAGAGTAGTTTATGTAAAATTACCGAGATATTTACGGATGAAGAATTGATCGAAAATGTTGATTCAAACATACATAGGGTGGGCCGTTCAAAAATAATAAAAAAACAATCACAAAGTGACACTAGTTTCAGCGAAACGATTATTACAGACAATTGCATAGATTCGATTTTGTATCGCGAATTAAGAAAAAAGTGTGCTTCTATGATTAAAAAAAAGCTATCGATGAATCGCATAAAACCAAATGTTAAATCGAGAGACATTCAATCCCATCGAGAGTCTGACATTGATACTGAAATCGTAGATTTTATAAACGATGCCCAAACATTTTCTACAAAACAAAGAGGAAAATACAATTCAAAGCGTTTCGAGAACAAACATCGATCAATCTCAAAGTTGCACAAGCTTCCAACCGCTTGGCGAAACAGTGCAATGAATCATAAAAAGAAGTTCCATTGTGAAAGTTGCTGTTGCGACATAAAATCTCGAGCTTATAATTGCAATGACCCGCAATGGAAAACTGCTAAGAAAGAAGTCACTTTGGATCGCGAGATTCATTGTGCAAAATATAAACCGCAGTTTTTGCAGCACAAAGAAAAGCCAACTACGATTCTTTTCAAGAATAAACGATCCAGCGAACAGCGATGCGTCAAGGAATCAAAATTTGAAAACTCTACGGATTCGGCGTGCAGTCCTGCGACGACATCCACGCAATTCACCGAAAGATCGGTTCGTGAAAATCGATTCATTTGTCGATGTTCACCTTACGAATCGTTGCATTATGCGATGGCTTTTAAAGACCGATGCAAACAAGATCAACACAAGATCGGTCGTTCATTGCTGTTGTCTTCTTCGTCGAGTCTGACCTCGTCAAAACGATGCCATTCGTGGACGGCACTGTCGCAGGACTCTGCCCGTTATAAACGAGAACCGATCTCCTCATCTTCCTGCACAAACATTCAAAAATGCAAGAGAAAAGGTTCGAGGAACGCGAAAAGAACCAGCTCGTATCCTTCCTCAAACTCGTCTTCGACGTCGTTGGTATCGCTGTCGACCTACAAGAAGAGTAACGACTTTGGACGAAACCAATGTCTGGAACCTCGAGGTAAGTTTAATCTTAATATATGTATACACAAAGAGTTAAAATTAAGTAACAGGATACATGACAAAAAAAAAAAAAACAGGAAGCATCAGAGAATCGATAAAGAGCCGGAGATTGTGGAGAAGGCCAAGATTTCGCAAACAGGAAAAGAAGAAAACCATATATGTAGGTGAACGTCACATTACGTGGGACGTCAAGCGCGCATACTAGGAACAGCTAAACGATTGAAGAAAGAAAACGAACAACTACGCGAACGACGTACGAAGAAGCGCAAGTTGTTTAATTATGGAAGTCTAATATAAAAGATATATACTGTGCAGCGTATATACGCTAAGAAGTGAACGAGTACAGGGTTGCGCGTCCCGGTATCGCTTAACAAAAGGAGTAGTGGGATGTAAACAGTCACGACTAGATCGCTCCTTTCGCAGAATTGACGGTAAAGAAGGAAACCAAGGGAAATTTACCAAGTTAACGATGAACGGATAAGCAACAACAGTAACGAGTATAACTCGTAATTGGCAGGTACCGAGTTAGCACTGAAACTCCGTGAATAAATTGGATCTGTGCTGGCGCGGGAGTGACGCGTCCCGTTGGACGCGCTTGGAAAATCTGAAACTCGATTAATATGCGTCGTGTCCGTAGGTGAAGAGTCTATAAGTAGAATCTTCAGCGGACACGAACGTCAGTCATATTCATATATTATATTCCGACCTAGTAGACGGGAACCTTCCTTTACGCTAACGAGATATATGCGACGGTTAACGCTGTGCATACATCACATGATGCCATGGTATACATCTTTGTCCGAAAATTTCAGTTACAATTTTCCCAACAAGAAAGAGAAGCTCACCGATTTCTCTTTTTCGATTCTTTCTATATACTTGGAGAACTTTCGAAACTTTTGTTCTTGATAGATGATGCTTTCTGTTTGATAACGCTGTATCTTAATATTGTGATGAACTGTTTTACTTTTTATTAGAATTTTGTAGAAAACTAATTCTATTTCACAATAAAATAAATATCTTAAAAGAAATACCAAAACACAAGTTTCAAAACCCATGATTTTCTGTTTAAAAAGTGCTCTTGCCAATTGTACATTCCCCTTGTGAGATTCAACTTAACAAGGTCAGGGAACAAGATTTGCAGAGAAAATGACAAAGTTCTCATTTCAAATTGACAACTCGAGAAAACGATAGTCGATACATCGGTATCCGTATTTCTGAAGTCTTTTTTCCCCAAAGATCTCTCGTCTTAATCTATTCGAGAATCTCTGTGAATGGCAGGCTTTGTAAAGGAAACGTCGCAGCTGCGTCCCTCACGCCTCGTATTTTGCACGCATTCCGATGAAATAAAAACAAGACTAGCAAGGGTGCCGACTTCAACCGAGAAGAAATATTTCGAAACAGGATGTTAAATGAGCGAACTGTCCAACTGTCACTCCGCCTAGTACCCAGTTTCTTAGCACTTAACAAAAATATGACCCAAAATGAATATATTTATTTTCGATGTCTATGTTACAAATAGACTTAGCGTAACACTTGCACGACTCGATTCAAAAATTATGTTATTATTGTTACTTATTTTTGTTGGTGTCACTGAAAAACGAACCCATACTTTGATTCGTAAATTTATTTATAAACAAATTTGTTCATTAACACATATACGTAATGTATATACCTGTACCTGTAATAGTTTTTTAAAAT